GCGCTGGCCGCCCTCAAGGAGCAGCTGGTAAGGCCGGCACCGTCCCTCGGGTTCATGGTTTGCAAAAGCAGGGACTCTTCTACTTGGGGCGACTGCTGTGTGCTACCTGGCGTTCGGCTGTCTGCCGGATTGAGGCGCCACCCTTTTGGGGCTGGGGTGGAATGCAGCTTGGTGTAAAACTAAGTGGCTACGGGGGCGCGGGGCGCGGGATCCGGGGCTGCAGGTAACGACCCTCGGAGTGGCCAGAGGACGGGAAGCCCGCGGGGCAGTGCGGGGGCTCTACGCCCCGCCTGTGCCCACTCTGGGCCCCAGGGGCGTGTTTAGGATGTGCCTTCGTGTGTTTGCTTTGCAGTATTATCCAGATACAGTGCGTTCCACTGACCTCCTCCCGTGGGGCTCTGTCTACCTCGAATCCTTGTATCCTACCCTCTCCCTCCCCAGGCTCTGAAGTAACTGCGTTGGTCCAGGGACCACAGTGCCCGTGTGCAGGGCGAAGCCCTAGCTGCGCAGTAATGGGGAGGGCTGGGTGGGGTCACGTCGTTCTAACACAAAGTAAAGCAAGAGTCTGATGTAGGCTTCTTCAACATCAAGATGTAACCTGATCGGTAAAAAGAGGCGTGTCCTCTTTACCCAGGAGGTAAAACCGGCCCTTTTATGGTTTCTTTACTTTGAGTCTTTCTCAGCGGTTCTTGGGTTCTTGCGAATGCCGAGTCCTTTTTATAGGATGGAAGGTATTCTCCTTATTAGTCCGTGTATGATTTCCTTCCATCTATTGGAAGCAACTCAAAAGGTCTTATAGAACTGCAGTATTTCTTACAGGAAAAATAAAAATGCTGTTGAAAGACAGCGACCTGATTGAATTATCGTAACTCCGCTAAATCAAATTTATTTTTTTAACTGGAAGTTCAAGGCTGTGCTGTTTAAAAAGCGAGGCCATGGTCTTCTAGGGGAAGCAGCAGCTTTGCCCTGTTGAGCTTGGTCTTGTTACTGGTCCATTGCTTCTGGATTAAGGAATTCAGAACCCTCGAAGTCCAGGCCCAGAAGTGCTTCTGCTATTGTTAGGATTCCTGCTGTCTTCCCGTGTCACAGGGCAGAGGGATACACCTTGAGAGAGAAGGGGTCAGGGTACCATCTTTTCTCGCTTGTGATTCGTCTGGAATCAGCTGCTGCCATGTCCTGTATTTTCCCAACTTCCCTTAAGTTACTAAGTCATAACAACGTGTTCAGGTGATTGGTGTGTTTGTATCCTGCCTTCAGCGAGGCACACAATGGCCTGGGAGGGTGTGTCACACCTGTGTGACAGGAAGGCGCTGAGGAGAATTGTTCTGTGGAGCTGTGAGAATGCAGCTGATGATTTACTGGGCTTAAGTCATACGAATCAGGCTTGTGGGCACCAGCCTCTAATTACAAGTAGCCTTTTGGAAGAGAAGATGAAACGTGTTTTTTTGTTTAATTTTTTTTTCATTATGTGGGGGCCAGAAGGAACACGCAGGCTTTGTCTTGGAACTTTGTTCTCTGAGCAGATTATGTGATCAAAAGAGAGCAATAATTGAATTGGTGTGACATCAGCCCAGCATGTAACACTTTTACATTTTTCTTCCAGGGAAAAAAATCAGGAGTGATACTCACTCCTTAATGAAGAACACAATCAAAAGACTTTAATCTCTAGCCCTGGCATTACAAACCCCAGGAACCCCAGTTAACGTGGGTTTCCCTCCCCCTCCACGCAGGGTCAGCCTGGGTCCTGGATCAGGTGTGAAGACAGGAAGAACATTTATCTAACCCTTGACAGCGTTACCCCCCAGGACTTCTCAAGTGAAAATGAGCTTGAGTGTTTCTGGGGGTTTCACCTGTAATTGGGAAGCTGGAAGCGTTCATTGTATTAACACTTACCAGTGTGTGCTGCAGCTTTTTAATTGCGGTGTCTAAAGTCACACCAGAGAGTGTTTGTGGAATAAATACAGGGGTGGCTTCTACTGCTGTAGTCAGAGGGAGAGTGATCTGAGTATCTGTGATGTGCCTGTTCGCCGTTTCTGAGCTGGAGGAAGCTTCCAGGACCTCTGACCGAAGGGATGTGTTAGTGTTGGGGTGGCCCTGGCAGAACTGGTTGTGCCACGGGGGTGTCGGCATTTCCATTTCCTGAAGGATCCGCGTCCCCAGCAGCACTGGAGTGGAAAGGTTAGGCACCCGATCCAAGGCCTGAGCGGGGTCTGGGACACTCACCTTCACCAGCAGGGGTTCCTGCTGCGGCCAGCAGGGGTGCGGCTTGAGCGGAAGGGAGGGAGGGCTGAGCAGACCCTGCAGTGAAACTTTATCTCGGAGAATGCCCCGGTGGGTGGCTGGCTTTGCTGGCCGGGACTTGTTCTAAAGTGGCCCTGCACAGGAGTCTTCTCACTGACAGGAGCACGCCCAGGGCTGATCTGCTGTTGTCAGATCCCTGGAATCCCCTGGACCCGCATGGTGCTACGTATACATGGGGAAATGAGGGGAGGAAAGGCGGGGACTCCCAAGGTCCTGAAGCGGGAGAAGCACCCATAGGAGGGTGCTGGGCTGTCTGCAGCTCCGAGGCTTCTAATCTCTGGACTTGTCTGTGAGCTGGGGCCGTTTGCCAGGATTTCCTGTTTTCGACTTGCTGTTTTTAATTGCTGTCCAGTCGACCCCTATTCATGGCGACCCCGTGTGTGCAGAGTAGAACTGTACTCCATAGGGTTTTCAAGGCTGTGACCTTTTGGAAACAGATCACCAGGCCTTTCTTCTGAGGCACCTCTGGGTGGGTTCAAACTGCCAACCTTCCGGCCAATAGTCTAGCACTTAGCCATTTGCACCAGCCAGGGACTACCTTTTAAACTGAGTGGTAGAATTCACCCACCTGCAGGACAGAAGCACAAAGCCACAGAGTTCACACACAGAATGGTGTACATTCTTAGCTTTCAAGGAAAGAAAGGTCCTGTTCTCTTTTTTTTTTTTTTTTTTATTGTACTTCAGGTGAAGGCTTACAGAACAAATAGTTACTCATGAAATAGTAGTACGCATATTGTTTTTTGCCGTGGAGCCAACTGTGACTCATGGCAACCCCACGTGTGTCAAAGTAGAACTGTACTCCAGGGGGTTTTCAATAGCCTGTTTTTCAGACGTAGATTGCCAGACCTTTCTTCTGAGGTGCCTGTGGGTGGACTCAAACCTCCAACCTTTCAGTTAGCCGAGTATGTTCTCCGTTCCCACTACCTGAGGACTCCAGCGCTTTTGATGTCATCTCTGTAGTCTGAGATTTAAGGCGTTTATTGTTCCCTGTCCTCTGAATATACCAGAAGGGCTGTGAGAAGGCTGACGTGCAGAATCGTCCATGGGGAGCAGAAGGAAAGCAGGTGGAGATCCAGTCACTATGCTCTTATGGTATACAAAGTCAGTGTTTCCAAATGAGTAAGCTGAACGTTTGTTTTTAATGGCATCCCCTGGAGTAGAGCTTGTCAGACTTTCTGTGGTCCCTGAGCAGTGGGTTACAGTGCAGATTCCAGGTTGTTCCAGAGAGGCTAAGTTAATGGGTGTGGCGGGGCCCAGGAGCCTGCATGTCGTACCAGGCGATGGGACTCTCGCGGGAGCCTTAAGGTGGCTGTATGTCCACCAGGTCTGCTTACCCTCCCCTGGCGCTGGGGGCTGGGCCGAGGGAAGTGGTGGACAGGGAGAGCCACAACCAGCCTGCCCCCCACCGCGGGGACAGTCGGCTGGACCGCTGGAGCCAGCTGATGGCGTGGGCTTTCTCTGGAAAGACACACGGGTCAGACGGCCCTGTGGCTGGCTTTGGGCCAGCTGAGACTCAGTTTGGTTGCATAAAGTGACATTTGATGATTAGCAACAAGTTTGGTGCCGAGGAGGAGTTAGAGAAAAGTGCAGGACATCAACCCCGAGTAGGGGGAAGGAGCCCTGGTGGTGCAACGGCTGAGCACTCGGCTACTAAGTGAAAGGTTGATGGTTTGGACCCGCCCAACGGCTCCGTGGGAGAAAAGACCTGGCGATCTGCTTCCGTAAAGATTGTAGCCCAGTCAGGGGGCCCAGGAATCGCCTGGACGGCACCCAACGACAGCAACAGTGGGCAAGGGGAAAGGCTAATGAGAAGGGCATAACCTGTGGGTGGTGGACCCTGGGGTGTAATAAATAACCCGTGAGTACCTGGCGCCTGCTGTGCGCTCCGTTGGCTGTGACCATCAATCAGAAGCCTCCGCCTGAAGGACCGGCTGGCCAAACATTAATCACAGAGCAATTATTCCAGTGCAAACACAGGGGCCAGTTCTGGCTTTTTTTTTTTTTTTTTTTTTGGAAAGGGGGTTGGGGAGGGAGGAAAGAGGGGGAGAAGGGGCAGGGGGTCTAGAGACGTCTCCCATCATTTGGAGGGGAAGAGGTCAAATATATGCTTTTAAACACTAAAGCGGAAGGAAAAGTCATTTGCAGTAGAAATACTCAGCGGCCCCTTTGTTTGAACTCAGATGCCTTTTTTAGAGATGGTCATTGGAACTGGCCCTATCTTTCTGTGCTAGACGGGCCATCTTTTAGAAGCATTGTTCACTTGAGTTAACACTTGACCCTTCTACAAATGTGCGAGGTGGGAAAACTAATTAGGCTAGGCTGGGTGGTTCTGACTAGTATGTATATATTTTTTTAAAAAGTTGCTGTTAAGTCACGTCTGACTCATGGCGACCCTATGTATGTCAGAGTAGAACTGTGCTCCATAGGGTTTACAATGGCTGGTTTGTTGGAAGTAGATCACCAGGCCTTTCTTCCATGGCACCTCTGGGTAGACTCGAACCACCAACCTTGCAGTCAGCAGCCAAGCACTTAACCATTTGCGCCACCCAGGGACTCCTGTTAGTATGAAGTTTTGATTTAATTCAGAATGATTTTTGTCTTATGGCTTCAAGACTGTGTTACTGTGGGTGGTGGCCCGGAGACCCCTGAGTTGGGTCCTGGGGGACAAGGTGTGAGTTGTCCCCGATGCTCTGTCGTCACCCACAGCTGTGCTCCTTGTTGGAGCCTGAGCTGACCTCACCTGTTGTGATATTTGCTCATGTTGGAAAAATCCGTACAGAAGTAATTCTCTTATGAGCAGGGTATTATACTACCTACTCATTTCTTGTAGAGATTTGTCAGTTGTTTGAAATCACTGAAATAATTCCCCAACGCCCCAGAATTTAAAAAAATTTCCCATACATAAATTTGAAATACGATCTTTTTCATAAACGGGAAGGCCCACATCACTGCATTCATTCATTATTTACCTTCCACTTAACTGTTCATCAAAACAAGAAATGTCTGCAGCAGGCTTTGAAAACAGGTGAGGTTTCTCGTCGGAAGTCAGTGTTGACTGCACGCGGGGACGTGCTCGTTGGCCTGCATACATGTTGTACACACGTGTGCACGCACAGAGTGTAGTTAGTTGACGCTCGTACTAACCCGTTCTAGAGGTGAGGAGGCTGAGGCTAGGAGGAGGTGAGGCCGGCTGCTCATTAGCAGAGCTGAGGTGTGAACTTCTAAATCAGACCCTCCTGGCACATGTCCTAGGCCCTGGCAAACCCGGTGTTCATCGTCTCTTCCTCCCCTTTTCTGAGAATTCTGTTTCCCTGCTGTCTCTACCAGAACTGAGAACTAGTTGCCATCGAGTCAATTCTGACTCATGGCCGATTTTTTGGAAGTAGATTGCCAGGCCTTTGTTATGAGGCACCTCTGGGTGGACTCAAACCTCCAACCTTTCAGTCATCAGCTGAGTGCGTAACTGTTTGTGCCACCCATGGGATCCACCAGAACTTAGCGAAGCTCAGGATGTTCCTTGTGATGTAAGGGGGGTGTGACGGGGCGTGGGGGGAGTGCTGAGAACCTACCCAACCAAACCAAACGCATTGCCATCCCGTGGATTCCGACTCATAGTGACCCTGTAGGACAGAGTAGAACTGCCCCATAGGGTTTCCAGGGCAGGAAATCTTTAGGGGAGCAGACTGCCACATCTTTTTCCTGTGGAGCAGCTGGTGGGTTCAAACTGCTGACCTTTCGGTTAGCAGCTGAGAGCTTAACCACTGTGCTACCAGGACTCAAGAACCTACAGAAGGCTTCTTTTTTCTTTCCTGGAGACTTTCAGTGGTTAAGCGTTCAGCTGCTAACCAAAAGGTCAGCAGTTCTAATCCACCAGCTGCTTCTTGGAAACCCTGTGGGCAATTCTTCTCTGTTTGTAGGGTCGCTGTAGTTGGAATCGGCTTGACGGCAACGGGTTTTGTTTTTTTTTTTTTGGTGGGGAGACACTTTCTTATCCCCTGAAAAGTCAGAACGTAACTCTCCCCAGTGTCCCTAGACCATGCAGGACATGGGTAAGTGGGCATGGGAGATCAGATTCTTGCTGAGAGCCCCGAGCAAAGTAGAGGTGGAAGTGCTGCCCGTGGGCCTCCAGGGGGATGGGTGCCATTTCTGAGCTGATTTCACTCTCATAAGCTGTATTATTCTATGTCCTTGTAAAAACACATTGCGTGGGAAATTGTCAATTAAAAAAAACAAGAAGTGTGCAATTGGAGTGAGAATCCTGGCTGGGGTCAGTGACTCTAAGGAGGTGCGTTTTCCGTGGGCTTTTGAGATTTGAATCGCATTCAGAATGCAAACCTTGTCACCGCATTGAGTCTGGAGTTTTTATTTCTTCACTTTTACCACATTTTTATTTCCCTTTCTTTTGCTTTTTAGTCCCGTTTAAGGCAACAGGATTTGGGGCTGAAAACCCACCTGGACCAGCTGGACCAGCAGATCAGCGAGCTACAGCTGGATGTGTGCAAGGGCGCCAGCGAGCTGCCAGACAGCGACAGCCGGCCCAGCTCAGGTACCGGACCTGGCGCCCAGAGGACACAGCGCCTGCTGGACCCAGCATCCTGGAGACACAGGGGCCAGGTCCAGGGGATGGGACCCAGCATCCTAGAGACACAGGGGCCTGGTCCAGGGGATGGGACCCAGTGCCTCGGGACCGCAGAGGCCTAGTCCAGGGTAACCCAGAGCCCCGGGACCATGCAGGCCTGGTCCAGGGAATTAAATGGACTGTTTGCCAAGCAAAGGCATGGGAAATATTATGGAGCCTGGTTACCAGGTTCAGGGTGGTATCTGTCCACTGTTTATGGGGCTGACCACAGAGAGCTACAGAGAAGAATTCGGAAGCAGATCCAGATCCTGAGCCATCCCTGGGTTTTTACTGACGTCACCACGCAGCCTCACTTGGGGCCGTCCCCCTCCTCCGACTATGCCCTCCGCCACCTAGAAGACTGGGAAGATGGGGGTCCTGTGGGAGGGTGGGGGTCCTGTGGGAGGGGGGCATCCTGTGGGGAAACGGGGGCCCCGCGGGAGGATGGGGGTCCCGCGGGAGGGTGGGTCCTGCGGTGTGGTAGCTGTCTTGTTAGGACGCGCCCTGACCCCCCTGTCCACCACCCAGGCTTCTACGAGCTGAGTGACGCCGCCTCCTGCTCGCGCTCCACCTCCTGCGCCTCCGTCTGCAGCGAGTCCGTCTCCTCCTCCCGCGGCAGCCTGCTGCCCGGCGCCCAGCGCCCCACGGCCCGACTCGGGGAGTACCGGCCGCGGTCAGCCGACGAGACCACTGTGCACATGGCCCCCCCTCAGAGACCCCGCCTCGCGGAAGGCAGGGCGGAGGGCACCAGCGGGGCCTGGGGCAGGTTCAGACCCAGGCCCGTGTCCACAGGTAAGGGTCATGGGCAGAGGGGGAGCTTCGTCTCCAGCGTGAGTTGGTGGCCACGGGGGAACCAGGAACCAGGTGCCCTGGGTTGGGCCGACGGTGGACCCCATGTGTGTCAGGAGAGCTGTGCTCCATGGGGTTTCCAGGGGCTGGTTTTTGGGAAGTAGATTGTCAGGACTTCCTTCTGAGGCGCCTCGGGGTGGAGTCGAAGCTGCAGCCTTTCAGTCAGCAGACGAGTACATCAGCCGTTTGCACCAGCTGTAGAGTAGAACCCATTCAACACTGACGGTACAGACATGGAGGTGAAAATACCGGAAATGCAGACAAATACCACCTTAGATTTTGTGTTTTCGTTTTTTTTAGATGGTTTAAGAGTCAAACACCCACTTCTGTTCACTAGAGCAGAGCTACTCTAGTAGAAAGGATTTTTTCTTGTTAAGGTGGACATCAGAAAGTTAAAAAAAAAATCCGTTCAGCAGCCTGACTGATACTGTCGCCGTTTGGAACGTGGGCAGAATTGGCCGTGGACGAGGAGGGGTGGTTCAGCTAATGCTTGGATTCTAGGTGTTGGGGAGGAACCACTGGTTTTCTCTAGCCTGTCCCAAGAGGCCAAGATGTCAGTTTTCACCATGTTTTATCTGTCATCTGAGACCTGGTGTGTGACAGCCGTTTGGTCTTTGTTTGGCGGAAATCCCCATGTGGCCCCTCACAGCATCTGCGTGAGCACAGAAGAGGTTTCTCCTGTGACCACCGTCTGGAAACGCCGTGTGGCGCAGACGCGCGGTCCTGCCCACGCCTCGTAGTCCTGGGTGGAATGAGGGCCTTGACCCAGTCCGTCGAGAGCCTGCCGTTTATCTTTCACGAACGCACTGTCCTTAAAGGGTCGTGGTTGGCACCGCCTGGTGGGATTATGTGCCGGTGGGACGTCTTCCCCACAGACCTTCTGACGTGTAACCTCCGGGGTGGATGGCGGTTTGTGGGTGGCTTTCTGTGTCCCACCTTGAACAGGGGAGAGGTTTGCTGTCATAAAGCACGGAGTGAGCTTGTGCCTTAATTAAACAAATTAATTAGGAGTTCATTAAACTCGTAATTAATTACGCATTTAACATTGCATTATGTCCCTTCCACAACTTATTTATTTTACATTTTCTCTTTCCTAGGAGACCTTGAGAGGGTTGTGCCGACCGTGGTGGGGCCCCAGCGAGCGGGCACCGACGCCTGGTCCAGTTCCCCTCTCAGCCGTGGGGTCCCCATCCTGCCGCACGTGGTGGACCCCAAGTACCAGAGTGACCTCGTGTCTCGGAGCGGCAAAGAGGTGTACCCCTACCCCAGCCCCCTGCACGCAGTGGCCCTGCAGAGCCCCCTGTTCACCCTGACCGAGGAGACCCCACAGGCCGGCGGCAGCAGCAAGCCCCCCAGGAACCCCTCTCCTGGCTCCGTGGGTGTGAGCTCGATCCGGACCAGACCCATCCCCGAGGCTAGCCCTGCGGGCGCCTACATTAACAAGCTGCTGCGTGGGACTCGGGGCCGGGGAGGCCCCCTGAGGGGCGGCGTGGGTGAGCGGGCCACCCCCAGATGTGGGGCATCTTCAGCCCAGCAGGCATGCAGTGGACAGAGTGTGGCTCGGGAGGGTCGACTCGAGAAGCTGGTCTGCTCTCTGGACAACAAGGAGGTGGAAGGTGTGACTCAGATGGGGAGCACCCACGGGGGGAGCCCCACGCAGCCAGGATCCGTGTCCCTGGTGGACACCCAGCAGCCTGCTGGCCTTCCAGAAGATTCTGTGCCCTCAGAGAACTGCACCCTTGGGAAGACTGCCTGGGGCCCCCCTCTGCTGGAGCAGGAGCAGGATGCCCCCACCTGCCCCCAGGCCGGGCCGCCTCACCCCACCTCCCATTACTGGGATGACAAGGCCGACTTGCCCTGTGGGAAACGGGGAACCAAGAGCCCCTCTGTGCTCTGGGGACAGCTCGTCCACACCCCGTTTGCTGCCACCCCTGAAGCCTACCCCACGCGGCTGAAAACAGGCAGCCCCAGGGTCAAGGCCACGAAAGTCAAGCGGAGGACGAGCAACAGGGCGCTGCGGTTTGGTAGGGAGGGGCCGAGGTTCCCAGAGAGGCAGTGGGGGGCCCACCTGGTGCCCTGGCTGCCCGCAAAGTGGGAGCCTTCCCACAGGCCCCATGGGGATGGCCATCTCGGGGGAAGGGCGGCCATGGCCGGGGAGGCGCCGGGCCGGTCCTGCTCTGAGACCAGTCTCTACCCTGTGCGCTTCTTGGTGCCCCTGGTGGCAGCCCAGCGGGAGAGCCACCGCGCGTCCGCCCAGGCCCTGTACCCACTAGGCGCCGCCCCCCTCGGCATGGCGGCCGGCGGCTGGGCCAGGAGGAAGCAGCGCAGGTGGCTGTCCTCGGTGGAGATCTCGGCCAGGGCCCGCCCCGCCGGCCTCCCTGCCCACCCTGGCCTGGGGCTCCACAGGCCGCCGGGCAGGAGGGCAGAGGGTCCCCGGGGCAGGCCCCCGCTGTCCAGGCCGGGTCCCTGTGCCCGCGGCGAGTCCCAGCACTCTGAGTCCTCGGCTGAGTGCGCCTCCGTCCTCCACTCCACCATTGCCGAGACTAGTGAGGACGAGGGCGACAGCGACCACACCGCCAACCGGTTTGGGGATGGGGAGTCCAGCGACAGCGAGGCCGAGACGGGCTGTAGCTTGGCGCCGGGCCAGGGTACGGCCGGGCCAGGGGAGCCCACGAGGCCTCCACCAGCTGCCCCACAGCTGCTACGAGCCAGCTCTGGGCCGAGGCCATCCCCGGGGCCCAGACTGTGCCATGTGAAGGCCTCCAGAGCCCTGAAGAAGAAGATCCGCAGGTTCCAGCCTGCCTCGCTCCGAGTCATGACCATGGTGTGAACCCAGGGGTGGCCTCCACCCACCTGCCGCACCTGGGGACGGGGGCAGCCGGTGTTCCAAACGAGATAGACACTCCCAGTGCACCTGACCACCTCGATAGACACAAGGGGCTTCCCACTGTCCACGACTGCACAAGGAACCACCACCTCCACAGACACGGGGGCTTCCCACCACCTCCATAGACACGGGGGCTTCCCACCACCTCCATAGACGCGGGGGCTTCCCACCACCTCCATAGACACGACTTCCCACCGTCAATGACTTCGCAAGGAGCTACTTGTTCAGCTTTTTCAGCTCTTTATGCAGATCTGTGTTTCTGTGTCACCTTGCCAATTGCCTTTGTCCTCCAAAATCTCGCTTGCAAAAGGACCACTTCAAGGGAGGTGACGGAACAGCCCCGGGCTCGGCCCACAGGCTGGGAGCTGTGTGGGCAGAGATTTCATTTGGAACCTGCACATTTCGGATTTTACAGGCCACCGAAGCCCCTTCCCAAGACAAACCCTCCCGTTACCGCTGGTCCTGGCTTCTGTGCATCGTCACCAGCATCCGAGCGCTGGCCAGGTGCACCTCGCCCACTCCAGCCGTGGGTGAGTCCCGACCCTCCCACCCATGCCTTCCAAAGAGGAGTGCAGTTACAAGGCTCTGTGTTGGAAACGATTTGAAAGTAAACTCCCATGTTGCGCTATCGTGAATAAACACCCAAATCATGCCGTTATCTTCCCAAATAAAAGCAAAGCATTTTCTTTCTCCTTTGTTCTGCTTCCTCTCGTTTCCCTAACGTTGGGGCGTTCTTCCCCTGAGGTGGGAAATCACTTCTTATCACACAGCCTGGACTCTGGTTTCAGAACGGTAAGTCGAGCATAAAGTGTGCTCAGCTTACTTTGGTCTGTATTTTTTCAAAGAAAAATCCCCTCATTGTGGTGGGGTTTGCAGTTACCTGCCTGTTGAGTGCCGCTACAGCTTCCGTCCTCAAGCAGCTTTCCCTGAGCGATTCCCAGGCTTCTCCAGGCTCCTTAATGCTGAGAGGAGGAGAAAGGGGGAGTGGGTGGGCTCTGAGGTCAAGAGCCGTTACCCCGTGGGGCCGTCTGGGGGATGTTCCGGAACCTTCGCGCTAAGGCATGGTTGGCAGGCTCATTCAGAGGGCAAACTGAAAAGAAACCCGATTGAAAATACGGGTAGATTTTATACTAAGCGTCACAGTAGTTAAATGTTCACGTAACGATTGGCTGGTTTCAGGGTGCAGTATAAAGGGATAAACATTTTTTGGAGAATTAGCCTTTTTGAACAAAGCAGTTGTCCTCTGAGGTGAGTGGGGAAGCTGAGGTTTCTGAAGGTAGACTGAGAAGGCTGTAGCTTCTTTCTGGGCAAAGGAGTTTGAACTCAGGCATTGCAAGGGGCCAGAGCTAGTGCTGAAATGCAAACATTCCTTCGCTTCTGGACAGAATTGCCATCTTTCCTTAATGGGACCTGCTCACCAGCAAAACAAATGCAGTCTCTTTCAGCTTTTTAAAGGCAGCATTGGAATTTAAAGGAATATTCAAACCCACACATTATTGGGGTTTAATTGTACAAGGAAGGAGCCCTGGTGGCACAATGGTTAAGTGCTCAGCTGTTAACCAAAGGTTGGTAGTTCAAACCCACCAGCCGCTCTGCGGGAGAAGAGACCTGGCGTTCTGCTCCCATAAAGATTACTGTCTGGGAAACCCTAAGGGGCAGTTCTGCTCTGTCATACAGGGTCGCTAGGAGTCGGAGTTACTCCATAGCACACAGCAACATTGTACAAGGAGTCCCTGGGTGTGTAAATGGTTAAACAGTTAAGCCTGGCAACTTACTTCCAAAACTAGGCTGCTGAAAACCTTGTGGAGCACAGTTCTACCCTGATGCACGTGGGGTTGCCATGAGTTGGAGTCAACAGCGAGGAAAGAAGCTTCTTGCCTTCAGTGCCTGCTCGTTCTTGACCTGAAGCCCTCTCTCCTCACCTGGGTTTCTGGGGGTACTGCTACCAGGGCGGCTTCTCAAAATGGGGGCTTCACCCACCGACATTGCAACCCCTTCCTTTGCATACGGGTGTGCTCTTCAACCTAACGCAGTGAGTGTTTGGCTGGTGCAGCTACACAAAGGTGCTTTGAGTTCAGGTGAGTTGAGGTAGCAGCTCCTCCGGCGGCGGCTCTTTGGCCTGGAGCAGAGAGGGCACTACCGTCAGGAGGAAGCCTGCAAATGAGGAAGGATTATGGAAGCTATTCCGCCAGGAGGCTGGCCATCCAGAAACGGGCAGATCCGGGATCCCACAGCATGCTGATGATCACCAGACTGTTTCTGAGAGGAAGGAACCACTGCTCGGCCTTCCTAGGGCATCTGAATGGCATTTTGGGGATAGAAGTGGAGAGGGAGTTAAACGCCCTGCTCCTGGAAGGAGAGCAGGGCTGAGGAACACTCAGATTGCTGAGCCATCTGGCTGCTGACTATGGCTATGAGAACAGAGCCCAGAAATGGTAGGCAAACCAGCTAATCGATAAACTAAGGAGAACTCTGAATTACTATGTAATGGAGCCAGGAGCAGTCTTTTGTTGTGAGGTACCATCAAGTCAGTTCCCACTCATAGCGACAGAACGAAACACCGCCCTGTCCTGCGCCATCCTCACAATCATTATGGTTGAGCCCATTGCTGCAGCCACTGTGTCAATCCATCTCATCGATGGTCTTCCTCTTTGTTGGCCCTCTACCAAGCATGATGTCCTTCTCCAGGGACTGATCCCACTTGGAACATGTCCAAAGTATGTGAGACATAGTCTCACCATCCTTGCTTCTAAGGAGCATTCTGGTTGTACTTCTTCCAAAACAGATTTGTTCATTCTTCTGGCAGTCCATGGTATATTCCGTATTCTTCACCAACACCACAATTCAAAGGCATCAATTCTTCTTTGGTCTTCCTTATTCATTGTTGTTATTCCTTATGCATATGATGCGATTGAAAACACCATGGCTTGGGTCAGGCGCACCTTAGTCTTCAAGGTGCCATCTTTGCTTTTCAACCCTTTCAAGAGGGCTTTTGCAGCAGATTTGCCCAATGCAGTGCATGATTTTATTTCTTGACTGCTGCTTCCGTGGGCGTTGATTGTGGATCCAAGGAAAATGAAATTCTTAACCACCTCAATCTTTTCTCCTTTTATCATGATGTTGTTTATTGGTCCACTTGCGAGGATTTTGGTTGTCTTTATGTTGAGGTGTAATCCGTACTGAAGGCTGTGGTCTTTGATCTTCATCAGTAAATGGTTCAAGCCCTCTTCCCTTTCAGCAAGCAAGGCTGTGTCATCTGCATAACGCAGGTTGTTAATGAGTCTTCATCCAATCCTGATGTCATGCTCTTCTTCATAGAGTCCAGCTTCTCTGGTTATTTGCTCAATGTACACGTTGAATAAGTACGGTGAAAGGATACAATCCTGACTCACACCTTTCCTGACTTTAAACCATGCAGTATCCCCTTGTTCTGCTCCAATGACTGCCTCTTGATCTGTGTACAGGTTCTTCACGAGCACAAGTGTGCTGGAATCCCCATGCTTAGGGGCATTCCTGGGGGGGTACAAAGCACGTCCTCTGCCTTTAAAGAGCTTACACAGAGAAGCAACAATAATTTGGGTAAAACAATTAGGATAAAAAAAAATAACTTGAATGCAAGCATCTGTTGAACCCATATATAAAATACACATATACATATATCATTTTTTTAAACAATACAAGAAAGCATGTAATTAAGGAACAAATCGTAGCTGTCTCTCTCCAGCATTTTTCAACAAGTAACATGTTTACCCAGGGACGTTTTTTGTGTTTCTCCACTATATCAAAAAGTATAATTTATGTTGGATTTTATTTATTGTGGTAAAATATATCTAACATAAAATTTGCCATTTTAACCATTTTTAAGTCTGCAATTGAGTGACATCGACTACGTTCATCGCATTGTGCAGCCGACACCACTGCCTGTTCCTAAAATGTTTTATTGTCCCAAAAACAGGATCTCAGCACCCATCGGGCGGTAACTCCCCGTCCCCCTCGGCACCCGTCGGGCGGTGACCCCCCGTCGCCCTCGGCACCCGTCGGGCGGTGACCCCCCGTCGCCCTCGGCACCCGTCGGGCGGTGACCCCCCGTCCCCCTCGGCACCCGTCGGGCGGTGACCCCCCGTCCCCCTCGGCACCCGTCGGGCGGTAACTGCCCGTCCCCCGCCCCAGCCCCTGGCACCCTCTAATCTACTTCCCGTCTCCATGAATTTCCTCTACCAGATCTGTCCTGTCAGCGGGGTCATGTAATACCTGTCGTTTTGTGTCTGACTTTTTCACCTCACATGTTTGTAAGGTTCACCCACACTGTTCTCCACCGCGGCTGTACCGTCTTACACGCCCCCCAGCAGTGGGTGTGGATTCCTGTTTCTCCACGTTTGCTTTCGTGGAGGTTGTTTCGATAACAGCCATCCTAGCGGTGCGCAGGGATAGCTCCTTGTGGTTCTGATGTTCATTTCCCTGCTGACTAGTGACGTTGAGCATCTGGTCATGTGCCTGTCGGACATTGGTATAACTTCTTTTGAGAAATGTCTGTTCAAGCCCTCTGCCTAATTTGTAAATGGCTTGCTTGTTCTGGAGCATTTTCACGAGCATACTAAGTGGGAAATAAGAGATCATCCTAGACACTCGGGCACTCATCCCGAGGCCGTTCCATTCCCTTTGTATTTCCAGAGCAGAAACCGGGAAAAGCTGAGAGAGAAGAGGGTGAATTTAGAAATAAGACTTAGGGTTGTAGAAAAGAGAAACTTATACATACCACTTTTTTTTCTCATTTAATGCATCATTTTTTCTTATGACCAGGAGGGTAGCTGGGGGACTAAGGAAAAGTCAAGCCAATTTGCTCATCCAGCCCACCTTACGTACGGAGAACCTGACGTGTTCTAGCAGCTGTGCTCAGTGCTATGCGTGGAAAGAAGAAAGGGCAGCGTACCAGCGCTCTAGAA